CCGTTGGATTACGCCTCCGCACTGGTGGTGGAGCAGTTGGAGGTTGGCGCGTTTGATCGAGTACTTGATGTCTGCGCCGCTTCTGGTAGGAATTCGATTGGAATTGCGCAGTTTCTTTCCGCAGACGGGGCGCTGACGGCAAATGAGCCAAATCATGAGCGTAGCGCCAGGTTACGACGCAATATTAGGGAGTACATTCCGTCAAATTATGTTCCTGTGACCATCACCCAACGCAATGCTGAGACATGGTATGCGCCTTCAATGTACCACCGCGTGCTCGTTGATGCTCCGTGTTCAGCCGAGCGTTATTTGTTGCAGCACAACGGTGGCGCTCCCGTCAGTCCCAAAATTTGGACGGAACAGACATCTCTGGAGTTGAGCCGCAGAGGGTGTGTTTTGCTGCTGCGAGCGCTAGAGACGTGTCGGCCAGGCGGTCGTGTTGTGTACAGCACTCGCTCCCTTTCCCCCTTGGAGAACGACGGTGTTGTGGAGGACGCACTGCGGCGAACCCGTTGCCAGGTGGAGGTGCATCCAACAACGTTGCGTAACATGGGTGAGAAGACACGTTACGGCCATATCGTTCTCCCAGACACAGCTGGGGGGTTTGGCCCACTGTTTTGTTGCGTCATTCACAAAGTGTCTGATAGGCGAGAGGAAGTTGACAGCAATGAAGAGGGGGAGGAATGTGAATATGATGATGAAAATGGGGATTCATAACACCGCACTGAAGAATGCAATAACGAGTAATGGCCAATAACAAGAGGTCCCTAAACTACACTAAATTACATTACTTTACATGCGGGGTGAAAGGGTATTTTTTTCCGCCTTTCTTTTGCTCCTCAAACTCTTTGTGTGGGTTTCTGTGAGAGGAGGTTGCGTTGCAACTAGAACTATTATTATTATTATTATTATTATTGGTTCTCCACACTCTCTTTATTTCTGTCTTCTCTCCGTGTCATTCTTTTTTTTTTTTTCTCAGTTTTGCCATATTGAAGCGGGGAGCTTTCTTTATCCCATTTATTACCACTGATCTTGGTATTTTTATCGTTTTGGTGCTTGCACTGCGTTTGGGTTTTGTATTATTCATGACGAGTGGCTTGCACGCAAACTTTGCATGAGGCATTGGTCACCGTGGCGGTGCGTGGGAGCAGCAGCAGCAACAGGAGCACTCATTCACCGCCGGCAGTTCATTGCGGACGGTCTCTATGATTGCCGTGCTGGAGCTGTTGGGACAGACGACACTTCAAAGTACCGTCTTCCGCTTGGGCGTGCCCTTCACTTCGTTGAAAAGGGAAGACGGCTTGCTGGAGCTGTCGTCGAGAGAGAAGGAGGTGGTGGTGAGGCCCTGCCCAGCAACAGGGAAGGATCTTCGCTTCATGAGGATGCCGCACGCTACGCTGCCTACCACTGTCATCATATGCTGAAATCATTTCGTGCGGAGCGGCGGCAGTGGACAAAATTAAAGGAGTTCTCCTTTGACGAATTAACACGTGTAATGGAGTACTTGTTTTTTGCGGCTCTCCTACTGCACCTCACCGCGCTCTATGAGACGGCGGACAAGTACTGCGAGGCGCTGATTGACGTTGCAATGTCTTGTACAATTTTTCTTTCTAAAGACGCCGACGGACTACACCATGCTGATATGCTTCAACAGGGCCGTAGCAAAAGTACTGATGCGAAGGTGGCGTATTTGTCTAACGGGGAGAAATTCGAGGCAAGAGACGAACCGTGGGATTCATTACACTGGGCAATAGTGCACTTTAGTCGCGGTGTCTTTGCCTGGGGTCTTCTGGACCACACAGAGCTCTTGTTTGACATGAAGCGGACCATGAAGCCATACTCTGGAATGGTTCGAACATTTGCGAAAATCATCTGTGAGCGTCTTGCTGGGATGAGTCTGTCTGCCGAAGATCTGGCATTTTTGTCTTGCCTCTCCACGGAAGAGGGAGCTGGCAAGTGGCTTGGAACTGCAAACATCCCTGCAGTCTCTTTAACGGATGTTTTTGCACGTGCTGATAAAAATCTTGTGGAAGCAACGCTTCATTTTGCCCAGCAGCGCCGTCTGCAGATTTTGCCGCTTGTGTGGATGGCGCTACTGACTCGTCACTCCGCCATAATTGGGGCACCGCGTTGTTTCCAGCCTGTGCGTCACGCCTTGTTGAACGCAATTCCACTTTTTCAAGAGGAAGCCAAGGCGGACACTGCACTGAAGCTTCTTGTGCAGTGCTGTTACTTCCCATCATCCTCGCTTTTAAAGGCAAGCTCTGTCGAAGTGGGCGTTCTTCTCTCTCAAATGGAGCGCCAAGGGGTGTTCTCTTCGTCAGAATTTGTGCTTGTGGAGTTACTCCAAGCGTGGATGCGCGTGGAGGCCCCAGAAGAGTTGTCTCCGTCTGTGAAGTCGGCTTATGGGGCGTACATGGCTTTTCGAAACATTCCCCGCTGCGCTCTTCGGGTGGTGGGAAAGCCATACACCGCCAAAAGCGATGGCGAGGCCTTTGTGCATGAACTGTTGTTCCATGCTTTGGTGCAGTGGTCATCTTGCCTGTCGGCTAGGGCACCGTTTCAGAGGGAGATTGAGGAGCTTTTGATATCTGCGCGTTATGTGGCGTCATTGTTTGACTCTATTAGGCAGCATGGGAAGGATCGAGATAGTGTGGGTGCCGCAGTACTTGTTGTTGAGGCGACGTTTCGTGCCTTTGCCGTGCGGGTGGCAGAAATTTGCACCCGGGGCAGATTGGTGGAGAGTATGTCACCGTCTGATTTAGCGGAGTTTGATCGTCTTGTGGACCATGTGTTGCGGGAGGGAACTGAGGGAAGCGTGGGGGGCTGTGTGCCTCAACTGTACGAGGAAAACCGGCACCTGTGGATTTACAGTACGCGGCGGAATGGATCTTGATAAACTGAATTGCTATGTACATTTCTTCATCTTCCTCATTTGATTTTCTCTCTCTTTATGCAATTTTTTATTTTTATTTTTTTGGTTGTTGTTTGCTTTCAAAAGCATTTTTTCCCATGATCGTCCCCTTTTTTTTTTTTTTTTTCATTCTTGGGGATCCCGCAAAGGCCGAAGCGAACATTAGTTACACGGAGCGAGAGAGACAGAAAGGGCGGAGAAGAGAAGGAGTGCTGCGCGCCCGTATGTATGCCCGTGCGCAGAGAACGTCGTCTGTGCGAGAATCTGCAGGGGTTGGCGAGCATCGCTTGCCTCGCGGCTTTGAAAGGATGCCGGCATCACCGGAGGCACGTGTAGCTTGTGAGCGTGAGGAGGAGCTAGAACGGCTACAGCAGTCGGTGGAAGCGGCGGCGGAACTTGTTTTCCAACAACGCCTTGCCATTCATCGCATGAAACGCAGCGCATTTGTCTCAGAAATAAAACGACGGCCTTTTTATAATTCCGGGAGCGGCAGGGATGCGTACAGTGACGCGTTGAAGCAGTTAGTGGATTTGGAGGATAATTTGTCCCAGGAATCGAGTCGTTGTATTCGTGCATCGAACGTGACGGCCCTTCACCTCCTCAACGAGAAGCAGTACTCACGTACGCTGCAGATATTACTTAGAGTGGAGGCCCTTGCCCAGAAGGGGGCTGGAATGTGGTTTCCTCTTTTTTTTAGCACGGAGTGTGGCATGGTGGGTGCCGGGGAATTTGTTCATTTTGCAGGGGATCGTCGCAGCGGGGATGAGGAAGGTGTGCAGGAGATATTTGTTCCATTCTTCACTACACGTCATGAGAAGATGCGACAACTTGTTCTTGCTGTGATCGATAATAATATTGGTTTGTATCATTTCAAGATTGCGGAGTACGAGCTGGCGGTGCGACGCATGTCCCGCGCGCTCCACCTGGAGGAGTTGTTAGGGGTGGAAACAATTGGAGTGACTTACTTTAATCTTGCGCAGGCCCAGTATGAGTGTGGTAGTCTAGAGGACGCCTTTTCGGCCATCACTTTGGCAGAGGAGGCGATTGAGAAGCGCATTCACGAGTACCAGTCTCAAAATAATCGCCTTCGCTGTATTGTTGATTGCAGCGGCAGTGGGGTGAACAACATTCCGGGATTAGAGGGACGGAGGCTTGACGTCTACATCGGCTGGCGAGAGGGTGTTTGTTTGCTCTCACGTGTGTTGGAGGCTCACGGAAGGTGGCTGCAGAGTAGTAACGCCTACAAGTCAGCTATAAATTGTTATGAACAGAGCGATAGGTGGCTGTCGTCTGTGAAGCGGCTAAGCGCGGAGGAGGACAACTGGCGACAGGAACTGCGGCAACGCATACAGGAATGCAGGCGTCTTCAACGGCACATCTGTTGTTTCCCCAAATCCACCGTGCTCTTTTCATCCCCCGTTCCTGGCGTGCCTTCGGGCTCTCCGCGTAGCACCGTCGTCACGACGACGCTTCCACGTAAGATTGAGATCACAGCCTGCGCGACACCGTTTGATAATGGTCAAAAGGGGATTGAAAAGGAGGGCAGCAAAGGAATTGACCAGCGGCAAACGCGGCGGCGGAAAACGAAGCACAAGGAGCATAGTGGGAAATCGCATTACAGGGATGTGTACGAGCTCTCTGCCACCACCACCAGCACTAGTAATGCTGCCGTTAATACAGGACATTATCTTCCCCGTACCGCGCCGCGCCGCCCAGAGTGGGATGCGGGTACACAAGTTGTTAATCGGGACACGACACGAGTCCGCCCGGCGACGACAGCAACGACAAGTTCTGTCGCCCACACGAATTCAGAGGCTCGGACTTCATCACGGCTGACCTCCGTGGCGGGCACACCGCTCTCACGGGGATCCAAACACGAGCGAGGGTCGTCAGGAAAGCCAGATTTGTCGAGTGAGACGGGATTAACGTCATCCGATGTCCGGCGGACACAAGCGTCAGCACCCGTGGCGCAGTGCACCACGTCTTTTAGAGCGCAGGCCAGTTCTCACGCCATGGCAAATCGTGCCTGGAATATCAATAGTAACGATAAATCCTTACCACTGACGAAGTTTACTTCGTCGTCAACCAAGGTGTGTCCTCTGTCACTGATGAGATGCATACACATATTGCAGGCCTTTGCACGCTCACGGGTCTCTCTTTTTGAGAAGGAATGGAGGAAGCTTCCCTGTGAGACGGGCTTTGTTTCACCCCAAAGCCATTCACATTCTTCGTTCTCTGTATCTTTACCCTCGTCGTGGAGTGGAAGACATCTTCACGAGACAGACGGTGCGTCGCGGCTTGTGTGCGGTGATGATTCTTTCTTGAAGAATGGAGGACTTTTTGTAGGGACGCCGTCTGCTCATGCTACGATGTCTTTGAATTCATGTGAGATCCTCCTGGCTTTTTTGGCGGCCCGTCGTTCAGCCTCTCTGGTGTGTCAGAGGTCAATTGAGCAACGATACACGAAAGTAATGGAAGGGGTTTTGCGGCAACATGCTTCCTGCGCTGGTTCTCCGTCTACAACGGTGAAAATGAGGGTGCTGCGTGACTCGGCACGGAACCGATCATTGGAAGAGACGGAGCCTCTGAGCACAATTTTGGGGGGAGCGGCTTTTTCTCCTCACCGGACCGAGAGCTTCCCGAATAGGAATGGCGAACTGTGCCATAGAAGTAGCGAAGGTGTGAGTTCCGGTGAGGGCAAAAAGAATGGTTTTTACATCTCCGAGGGAAGGCTTCACCGAAGGTATAACTCGCTTCTGCGGATGGTGCCACAGGGGAAAGAGACACCTGACACATGTTTCGATGCTGTAAAGGCAAACAATCGGTTCAATGGGGATTTGGCATCGGATACCGCAGGCGCAATGGGGTCTCAATTGTACTCAAGCATGCCAGTAACACCCCGGCTTTCAGAGGATTCAGGCAGTCGGAACAGTCGTGCGGATGAGATTCCCACGTCCACATGGCGAGCACGACGCTGGTCTGATTTTCCCTACACGCGTCAGTCGGAGAAAAATCCACAGAAGGTGATTGTTCACCCTCACATTGTTCCTCAGCAGCGTAATGGGACTATGGGGGCTGTAAATTGCGAGGACTTGGATGCGCCAAATGGAAAGGTATTCAGCAATGGCGTTCAGAATGGTCTTCCACCACGTCACCCCATCATCCGACGGACGCCGTTGTTGACGTGTGAGAATCATGACGACATCGCGCATACCACAGCAGTGATCATTCGACAACGGCTTCTGAGGGAGGAGGCTGCCATCGTAATTCAAGGGGCCTGGCACAAATGGAGGGAGCGACGACAGTTGGGGGCGGTGCGAAGAGTTAGCTATAGATAACCGCAGTGAGGAGGAACTGTGTACATATACATTTTACGATTCTTACAAGCACATTGAACGTGAGAAGCGAATAAAACAAAAAATGGGTGGTTGATTGAGCATGGCGCCCCCTTTTTTTCTTTTTGTATCTGCGTGATGATTATTACTATTTCCATCCCGTTATTTTGCTTCCTCCTACATATATATATAGAGAGAGAGAAAGAGAAAGGGAGAAATTGCAATGAGTGTTTACTGAGGCTATTCTTATGAAGAAGACTTTTCTTACGGTTGCGTTTTTTTCCTTTTTACTGACGACTGTTCTGTTGCTCTACTTTTTTTTTTTTCTTTTTTTTTTTTTTTTTGAAAGCAACAGATGTGTCAGTTTGGACAGTACGATAATTTATTCATGCGTGAGAGTGAACTTCTGGCCTTTACGTGGATGTAAACATTTTGTCTCTTTGACATAGTACGGGGCGGGGTAGTAGTATTTGGGCACTTTCTCACTCTGTTTGTATAATGTTGTGCTTAAGTAAACATGCATGCCTGCATACATGTGCATGGATGTTTTTTTGTGCGATTCCGGGGGTTTTCCACCAGTCAATTGTGAGGCACAGTAGCCTTGCGGATTCATCCACATTTGTGTTGGTGGAAGAGGAGCAACTGGGTGTGTGCTTCTGGCATCTGATTGATTGTCTTTTTTTTTTTTAATTTGTTTGCTTTGTTCCCTTTTGATCTCCTCTCCTCCCCCCCGCCGTATTTTCTTTGAATTCAACGAAGCGAAGAGTATTTATATTTGGACGGATGCATTGTCAATATATCAGAGTCAAAATAGAGTTTCATTGCATTACATAAAATATTTAAATACACATACATATATATATATATAAACACACCATAAATATTATCTTGTTTCTTTACATACTTTTTTTTTTTTGGCTTGTATGGTCTTTACCGCCGCAGTGGCCGGAAAGACGTCACTGCCACCCCCTGTGGCGATTATCGTGGGCCACAATATTGATGCCTCCGCCATGCCAATTACGTATGAGCGAAATCGCTTTGTCATAGATATGCTGCACCATTATGCGTGCCCTGTTTTTTCTCATAAAAAGAGCGGTGATGCCATGAATACGGTTTCAAGCGATGTTTTTGAATGGGTCTTGGAGCCCCTTCCCGTAGTTGGTGTTGAGGATATGACGGCATTTCATGACAGGGCATATTTAAATTATTTAAGTATCCGTGAGGCCTTGTCCGAGGTGGATGAGCGGGCATCAACTGTTAAGCGTTCAAGGGCTGAAGGAATTCAACCCCCCGTTTCAAGAAGATCATCTGCGCAGACTCAACCCCCTCTGCGTGTGCTACCCGACCTTGTGCCTATATCAACCGATGAAGAATATGGCCTTGTTAATGAGAACATGCCTTTTGTAGGCATGTGGAGAACCATTCAAGCTACAGTATCAGGTACCCTTTTGGCTGCTCGTTTACTGGCTCAACCTGGCCGTTTTGCTGCGATTCATTGGTTTGGTGGAAGACATCATGCCAAGCAACGTACTGCGGGGGGGTTTTGTTTTGCAAATGATGTGGTTCTTGGGGTTCTTGAACTGAAGAAGTTACTTTCTTCAGATAAGAATGGTATTCTTGTAGTGGATGTGGACGCACATCACGGTGACGGCACGCAATCAGCATTTCTGCATGATAATTCTGTGTTGACTTTATCCATGCACGCGCATGGGGTTGGGATCTTTCCCGGAACCGGTGGAATTGAGGAGACTGGTGCTGGGCTGGGACGTGGCTTCACGATGAATGTCCCATTACCAGAAGGCGCAACCGATATTCTTGCCGTTACATTGATGTATCGAGCGATTCATTTTGCATTTAAAAAACTGGGGGAATGTCTGGCTGCTATTGTTATTGTCTGTGGTTCAGATGCCCTTAGTGGAGATCCGCTAGGCGCTCTCAATCTTACAGTTGGCGGGATGCAAAGCATCATCAGAATACTTCTGAAGGAAGCAGCTCGCCGCTCACTCAAGGTTCTTCTCCTAGGTGCGGGCGGCTATGTGGATACTAGTTGTGCTCGTCTTGCAGGGGTTGTCACGAAGGATGTGCTTAGCTGTGCAGCGGCAATGCGCCTGGGTAAAGCGGAATACTTTGGAGACTCGGCCAATCTGGGGGATAATCTGGGTGTGGCCGTCCCTGAGGGTTGTGAGTACTTCACTCGATACGGACCGTCATTCCTCATGCATGGCCTTCCACCTGCTCGCGTAAGTAAACTATATCGGCTTCCGTATGGCTCCCCACTGTTTATGCGTATGCAGCGAGCGGCAACAAAGGAGGCTTTGCGGCGCCGTCGAAATCAAGAACAGGATGAGGAAGAGGATGATGATGAAGAGGGTGAAGAAGAGGATGAAGAAGAGGGTGAAGAAGAGGATGAGGAAGAGGATGAAGAAGAGGGTGAAGAAGAGGGAGAGGGAGAGGAAGAGGAAGAGGGGGAGGAAGAAGCATAGGAGAGTCTCCTATACGTGTTGCTCCTTGTGCATTTATAGGTGTCTCGCTGTCAGTCCGTAATGTTTGTGACGCATGATTTTATAGAGGTTTACATGCGGGGGTTTCTCGGGGAACCTGAAGTTCTCCTACAAATGATTTTGGAGACGGAGAGTTGTCGCACTTTGATGTTGCAAAGGTGCTTGCACATTGGGATGTTGCTGTTTCTTTCCCCTTTTTAATATGTCGTTTTGTTTCTGTCTTTATTATTATTATTATTATTGTTATTTTTTTTTTTCTTTCTCTTCCTTTACATGTACTTCTATTTGATGCACATATATTTTTTTTTGGGGGTGAAAAGTGGTTTTTATACGTGTTTTTTGCGAATGACCATTCGAGTTGGTGTTTCGTTTGACCTACTGGGCACGCTAGTGGATGTGCACCGTTCGTCCGGATATCAGTACGCCATTGACTTTTGTCGCTTTGTTGAAAAGAAAGGATTTGATTCTCCGCCAATCAATGTGGACGTGCTGGAAAAAAACTCCAAAAAATCATTAAAGGCGGAGATAGCAAAAGATCGTGCGGAGTGGACAGCCCAAAATCTAGGAGTCGCAGAAGAGATGCCCTTTGGGGGTGTGACAAAGGAATCGGTGGTTAAATTTTGGTGCCGTGTAGTTAATTCCACGTATGACCGCGAGGGAGCCTTTTGCGGACATGACCCGAAGACCATTTCTATCATGCAGCAGGCACAAAATACTTCGGAGTGGGAGGACTTCATTATGAGTGTGGTGCAACGCTTTGCCACACCAGAGCCGTACAGTTGGCTTCCTGAGACCCTTCCAACGCTTCATTCGCTAAAGAGGTGGCGGGAATTGCAGCTTCCGCTGGGTATTCAATGTGATCCTCCGAAGGTTTTGACAAACGCGGATTATCGATTGGTTTCTGTGATCCGCGAGATGGTGCAGCGCGAGGGCGACGAGGAGCTTCTCGGCCCCGTGTTTTCGGCAGACGTCGTTGGTGTGGGCAAACCGTCTCCTTGTGGTATTGAAATGGCACGCAAGGCGGCTTGTGTCCCGTCCGCGAGTCAGTGGATACACGTGGGCGATGGAGGGGCGGACCGAGTGGCGGCTGAGCGTGCGGGGTGTCATTTCCTGCCCTGCCTGCAAACGAAGGGCGTGGTCTGGGAGGAGCTGCGGGAGAAGCTGGAGCAGGTGTGCCGTTTGGCGCAGGAGGCCGCGCCTTGCGCGTGATTTTGTACTTTTTTTTTCTTTTAATTTGTTCATTTTTTTCTTTTTTTTTTTGGACTGCCAAGGTAATGCGGCTGAGTCTTTTTGTTTTTAGACATTTTTGTTGATTTTTTGGCGCACTCTGTTATTTATTTATTTATTGTTGTTGTTGTTGTTTTTGAGGCGGTATCAATGTGATATATATGTTTGTTTCTTTTGAACGTCATTTGATGCTCCGCAGGCCAGCCGCCATTGCGGCGCATGTCCTTTTCCGCCACGCGTAGATGTGGAAGAGAGCCCCAGCCCCCCCGATAAGAGAGGAAGCTGCGGTGGAAGGCGTGAGAACATTTCCTCCCCCGTTAATAAAATAATTGGGACGAATGCGGTGACACTTTAATCCGTTGCCGCCGAGAGCAAAGAGGTGCAGCAAAACGCCAGGATTATAAAACCAACAAATATGTAAATACGGAGTCAACAGACCACGGGATCCATAAATGACGCCCTGTTTCTGTTTTTTTTTTTTTGTGAGCCACCACTTCATATTTTTTTTTTTATGTTGCTGCAGCTTGGAGTGTGGGCGAAAAGGATGATTCGGCAAAGTCTCGATGTGGTACCCACCGTGCAGCCCAAGTACCGACTGGAGGAGGATGCGCGGCTGGCTGCGGAGAAGCGTCGTCAGGGCGGCCGACAGCCAGTGACCGCTACAGGGACGCGGGTGGAGCGTTACTGCATCTTCAGCTGCGATGATGTTTGGGCGATGGTGAGCGGCAGCCATGCTGCTGGCGGGAAGAATCTTGCGTGCAGTAATGGCAACGAAAATGAGGAGAGTAAAGAAAAGGTTGTCGCCGGTGCTCGACTCTACTCGTGGCTGCCGTCACCCGAATTGGGCACACGCGTGCCGCAAACCCTGCAGGTGTTGGAGGCTCCGAAAAAAAATTCGAAGCGCATCCGACGTACGTTGTACCGGGCCACATTGCGCAGTTCGAGAGCACCTGGCGAAACGAACGAAGAGGAAGACGAGGAGGATGAGGGCGATGAAACATTAGAGGATGAAACGGCGCCTCGGTTTAGTTCACTTCCGGTACCCGAATACGAGGACATGTCATCTATCCTTCTTTTAATTCCCACAGTTGCTGAAGAAGGGGCGGTGGCACGAGCGAGAGTGCTTGACGCCCCTGTACACACCCTCCGTCACGAACGCACGGGGGCCGCCAAGACAGGCCAGGGTATCTCGACATCGTGGTACTCTGGTCTGGACGTTCGTTCTGTGGGATTTAAGCGAAGCTACATAGATGGCGACGAGGACGCGGATGAAGGGGACGCTTGGAGCACTTTCTCTGACGATGCCTTGAACAACGCTCGGCAGGGCGGCAGGAAGAATCGTGAGGGCAAGGAAGAGCAGCGAGTTGTTAAGAGGAATAAGGTGGAAGCCAATGAAAATACAGCTGCGAATACAAATGGAATCGAGGGAACGAAGGGAGTAAAAAAATCTTCCGATGATGTGCAGCAGGCGACAAATGATGGTGCCCCTGTGTCGCTTCTGCCTACTTCAGCTTTAAGTACTTTGGAGGGGGCTGCACAGAGGGTCGATAAAGTGGACTTTTCGGAAATCAACGTGGAAGACTTGGAAAGCCTCACTGGCTCCCTTTTACAGCAGTGGGCCTCCGCTGGAAAAGCAGCCATGCCCTTTTCTGAGGTGACGAAGGTTGTGCTCAAGTCTCATCCAAAGTACACCGAAATGAAAGCGAAACATCAGTCACCTCAAGGTAGGCAGGAGGCACTGGAGTGGTTTCGTGTGTCACAGAAAGCCGTTCGTTCTTACGTTCTACATTTGGGATACACGATAGACAGCACGAACAACGTGTACTTATCACGGCCGTCGGACACCCAACGAAACTGAGAGGGGAGATGGGGGGACAGCCTCCATCGAGGCCTCTCCATGGCTGAGGGTGGGGCAAAGACGGCGACGTGTCGTGGAGGTCTTTGAGAGGATAGTCGTTGAAACAAATTTTGATGTTCAGCCCTTTTTTGTTTGCTTGTTTGTTTCTTAAGTATGTATGTCTCTTAACTGAATTTTAATTGGCTTTTTTTTTTTTTATTATCCCTTTCCCACTCCATTTTCTTTTTTCTCTGTCTGTTTTTCTTTTATTTCTGTTTGTTTGCAATTTTTTTTTTTTTTGCGTGTTTGCTGCCTTCTTTTTTTTATTGTCTTTGCGGAAGATCAACGCGATGCCAAAGAGTGATTCATCGCCTGCCCTTGAGAAGCCACGGTCCATCACCCCGCAGCCCGCCGAATTGGAAGCCTCCGATAAAAACAAATACACGGATCCATTGGATCTCGAAGATAATGAAATAGAGACCGTGGAGATGTCAATTAAAACGCAAACCGCTGTTCATTTGCCGCCTCGGACACTGCAACAAGAACCACCGGAGGCGCGTACGGCTCACGATGCAAATACGGCGCATGCGCTGGCAGCAGGAGTACCAGCTTACTCCGGCGGGGAGGAAAATGATCAGAACCCCTTTCACAATGGGAAAAGGGAGATTTCTACGACGTCACAACTTACAACAAGTGCTAGCGCGATCCAAGACTCAGCCACGGAACCGGATGGGAAAAAGTTCTCCATTTCAGTAGAGGTTACATCTGATGGCGTCACACGGCTGGAGGAACTTGACCCGCGGGAACTTGCACGTTTGTATGCACAACAACAAGCTGCCCTTCGTTCGATTTCTGGGGAGTTTGATATTTTATATGTACCTGATTGGGTTCGCCTCCACCCTTTGCTGGGATCCTACGTGGCAGAAGCGTTTGGAACTTTTGCCTGCGTGCTCACTCTTTCTCTTGTCAGCGTTCGTAACCAAAGTCTTTTTGATAGGAGTGATGATACTAACATGACTGCTCTTCCGATTGGATTTATGTTTATGTGCATGGTGTTTACTTTTGGCTACATTTCTGGCGGCCACTTCAACCCCGCCGTCACAATGGCTGTGTTTCTCGTACGAAAGTTGGATTTTGTGCGAGCCGTGGGTTACACAATTTGCCAAACTGGGGCGTCCCTTGGCGCCGGGCTTGTGGCTATGGCAATTCAAGGAGGCACGGACATATTTGTGCCGTACGTAGATAAGGCTTATGTCTCTTCTGGTATATTCTCAGAGCTCATATTTACTTTTGCTATCGCAACGGTGGTGCTGAATGTGGCGTACTCCCGGCAGAGCGGGAATTTTTTCTACGGTTTTGCTATTGGAATGACTGTCGCCGCCGGTTCTGCATCTGTGGGACGAATTTCTGGCGGTGCCTTTAATCCTGCCGCCGCCACAGGCCTGCAGTTGGCACTTTGCCTCACCGGTAACTGCGAACCCTTGGCGTCGTTTTGGATCTACTGGATGGCGCCACTTGTTGGCTCCGCACTAGCTGCCTTGCTGTACGCGAATCTCTCACAACCAGAAAACACCCGGGCTCTTACAGATGCTGCGGTGCTGCGGGCGGACTCGGCCGCAAACGGTGTGGCTCCGGTGCAATAGTTAGCGTTCCCCACCTCCTCCGCCTTTGTCACGTTTTCACCGCTGCCTCTGCCGCAGAATTTTTTTTTTTTTTTTTTTTTGCAGGGGCGGTGGTGGTGGTTTTGCGAGGAGGAAAGGAATAAAGAATCGTGTGTATTGAGGTGCAATTGCTGCGTGTACGTGGAAGAAGGGGGAGGGCGTATGTAAATATGCATAAAAGTGAATACCCACGACTGACGCCAAAGAAATATTCGCCATCACGGGAGAAGAGGAATAATAATCAAAAAAGAGGGGTGAGCGGAAAGGTAGGAGAAACGAGGGGGTGGACCACTTTTTTTTTTTTTTTTTTGTGTGTGTGGGCATATCAGGAAAAAGATGGACATGAGTTTTCATTTTTTCCGCCCTTTCGAGGCTCAGACGTGGCATGAGGTTTGGTTCAACGTTGTTTCTCTATTCTCTCTGGTCTGTCAAACATCTGCACACAAACCGACACACAGAAACATTTCACGGATCTCTTATTGGCGATGACTGCCACGGGCACCTGTAGGCAAGTGAATAATATCTCTTTATTTTTTATTCTTGTTTTTTTCCCTCTTTTTTTCTTTGTTTTTGGAAGGAGGGGCATTTAAAATGTGACCGAACCACCACACGGTAGCTGAGCGGCGGTGCGTGGAATTCATGTATTGTGTTGGACCGCTTCTTCTTAAAATTTGACTGCTATTCTTTCCTTCCCGCTATGTGTGTCTTATGGTGCGAAGGGGAAGCCCCCCTCGTGATTGTAGCGTTTTTCCTGCAAAAAAACAAAACAAAACAAAAGAAAAAGACAGAATAAGAGGGACAAAGGGGAAGGAGGCGGCTGTTAGTTTTGAACTGGGTGTGTAGAGATGACGGAGGAGGTTTTGGCCGTCGAGGAGCGATCCTACTTGGCACGCAAACTTCCCCTGGTCAAGTTATCTGCATATCAGGCAAAGTTTATTTGCGAGGGCATTGGATCCTTTGTTTTTGTGATGACTGTCTCTTTGGCAGAGATGAATTGCGGCATCACCTCCATTAATGGGAAGGACCGTACACGCAACCTTGCCCCTATTGCGGAGGGTTTTATGCTATGTGTGCTGGTGTTTGCATTTGGCTACATATCGGGGGGCCATTTTAACCCTGCCGTGACTTTCTCAGCGATGCTTATCCGGGCTATGCGGTTGGAGGAGGCGGTGGCATACTGGATTGCACAGGTGATTGGCGGTGTTCTTGGCGCACTTTTTGGTATTGTGGTGAACGGGTTTCCTCGCCACTTACCTGCTCCCCAGGTCTATCAAAACCTTCCAGCATACATCTTTACGGGATTCCTTGCGGAGGCGTTGTTCACGGGGTTCTTGGTGACCGTTGTTCTTCACGTCGCATATTCCCGCCAACGCAATAGTCATTATTACGGCCTGGCCATTGGCATGTGTCTGCTCACCGCCAGGTACTCCGTGGGCAGCGTGTCGGGCGGTGCCTTTAACCCCGCCGTTGCGACCGGTCTTCAGTTAACGAAATGCATCGCGGCGGGGTACTGCATTCCTTTGATGCATCTTTGGTTGTATTGGGCAGCCCCTGCCGCAGGGGCTCTTGGGGCATCACTGCTTTTTAAAATGACACATCCGGCGCCGCAGGAGACGGAGGAGGAGAATCAGCGGAAGGCGTTGCAGCGTTCCGCCAGGCATCTTTACGGATCGTAAAGCAGGAGGTGGCAACCGCGGCCCAACGGAGAGAGGAGCACCCAGCGAAGACAAAAAGGAAAGTGTGGGAAGAAATGAGACTTACGCAAGACAAGATTTTTATTGAGAGCGGAAGAAGGGCTCAAAATTCGGCCGCTGCGACGGCAACAGAAAAACAGGCCAAAAAAAAACCGAAGGAGGAATGGGGGGTGGCGACGCTGAACTGCGGAGTAATTTGTGACGCATTTTTGTATTTTTTTGGCTTTCTTTTTATGTTTCAGTGCGTGCTGGCATAAGCGGGCAGAGTACGGAGGAATCGCATGGGGTGGGAACAACCTGGCATTTGTGAGCCCGGTTTATATATATATATATATTGCCATGCACTTTTTTTTTTTTAAATTTCTATTTATTGATTTATTTATTTCCTTCTATAAGGGCCTTCGCATGCGCAAGGAGACGTTGAAAAGGAGACATCAAACATGTCGGAGGACGATGATGAGAGTTGCGGGGTGACGAAGAAGACAAATTCCTCCTCGAGCGCATTGTTTTCTTCGTTGCCAGACGTCCTTTCTTTCACAGAAACCTCCGGGACATGGATATCGCGACTTGTCTGCATGTTCTTTGCGCGTCTGGCCTCCGGTGAAGAACTTTTACCTCTTATCCGGCACGTTCGCACCGAGCTGTTGCGCCCGACGCCAGCGCCATTGGGAGCCAGGGCCATACCAGTTGCCACATTAGAAGCTTCAGTCGCCAATACCACGACGGATGTACCAGGAACCATGTTGCAAGGGTCTAATCCGAGGATGGAGGCGATGGATGGTGTCAGTGATCAAGATAAGCTGTTTTTATACCGTGCTGCGAAAGTGGCCCTATTGCTTTCTGCAGAAGGTGAGGAGGCGCAGGATGAGGCAACACGATTGTTGTGTGAGCCGGTTGTGGCTCAGGCTTTGCAGCTTGCCGCAAATCAGGGCGATGCTGTTGCACTTCCTTTGCCACGAAAATATGATTTTTTTTTGAGCAGCCGTGTTGCGGTGTGTTGTGCAAGGCGGTGGGCACGCGAGGGTCGATGGGATGTGGGGTTACGACTGTTAGAACGTGCAGTCGCCACTCCCATGACGAAAGCAGCGGCAGTGGAGTTGTTCAGCAACGCCGGGCACTGGGAAATGGCGGTGCGATGTCTTGGTCAACTTCCCCCTACTTTGTGGACGGAGATTGAGGTGTCAGCCGCTGTCCGTAGCTTATACCGAGCCGTGGAAAGGCGTCGGCGTAACGGTATGAAAGTTGGTGATACCCCCAACGCAGGGTTGTGGAGGATTGCGCTTCACATATTAACGTTGGTTCGTGATAATAAAGTACAATTAAGTGCGCCGTCTGCCGTCAACGATGCGCTGGGTTTGCTTGGGGCCGATGGGCAGCAGTGGGTGATGGCATGTCGTCTTGTCAAGACAATGCTACTAAATTTGGAAAAGGAGGGACTGACAGGTGAATCTAGTGGCACGGTTCGTCCAAACGTGGTTTCAGTCTACCACATGTTTCGAGCCCTGCGGCAGCATTGGCATCTGGCGCTCCAACATGCATCTCTGATGATGCGTGAAGGGGATATTTGTATATCTGACGATCGCGAAGTGACAGATCGATTATTGAAGGCCTGCGTCGTTGGCTATCGTTGGGTGGAGGCATTACGTACCGTACAAAAGTCTCTAGAGAGTAATCCAAGCGAGGAGGGCAGGGATTTTATTCACACCGACGTTTTTCTTCGCGTTCTAGGGATGTTACACGAGCGCCAGAAGGGGTTTCTTGCCACGCAACTCTTTCAGCAGCCTCAACTATCAAGGCACTTCAGCAAGGACACTACAGGAAAGGCATATAACGTGATGCTGCGTTACTGTAATACTGTTCCAGAGGCTCGAGTGTGGTTGCAAACGATGGGAACAAAAAATATATTGGTTGAAAATGAGTCATACGAACACTTGATGATTCTATACTCTAGAGAGGGTGTTTGGCAGCAGGCCTTGTCGTTATTTAATGCCCTTCTGACCGATCCACAACGTCAGCGTCTTTATATTCCCTGTGCCAAAGCACATGACGCAGTGCAGTACGCCTTGGAGCGAGTCTTGCCACCAGGACCATCGTGGGAGGTATCAATGACACTTTTTACTCGTATGTGCGAATTAAATGTGCCAATTTCAGAGGTGGCCTTTCAGTCCGTCGTAAAGAAGTGCTTTTCACAGGATAAAGCCGATGAGGCACAATCTCTTTTCCGTTTTGTGGTGCGACATGGTGTCCGACGATGACGGGGGAAGGGTTTTTAATGAATACTTAAACCCCAATTCAAAATTACGTCGTTGAGACAATATGATGGATGGCGTGTCACAGCATTTAGAATTAATGCTTTTACTCTCTTTTGACCCTTGTACTCTCCTTGGGTGTAATGGCTGTGAAGAGCATTTACGTTTGTATTCTTGTGCGTGTGTGTACGCATTCTTTTTTTTTTTTTTTTTTACACGCCATTTATAGGTGTTTCTTATTCATATAATTTTACAGGGATAAGTAGGAAACAAAGAAAAGGAAGAGGTATTTAGTGGAAAAGAACGAGAAAAGAACAACAAGAGCAGCAACTAGTACGCGAGAGAGGGAGGGGAAGAAGAAGATGAATGGATTTGGGGCACCGGGAGGAAGTGTAGCTGGAAACAACAATTTTGGCGGGACATTTGCTCAGCAGTCAGGCTTTGGAGGAAATACTGGGGGCTTTGGGATGAATACCGCAGCAGCTGGGGCCGGTTTCGGATCAATGCAAAACTCAGCAGGGCCAATCATACAGGGTCATCAGGGATCCGGAGAACAGGGCCGCTTTGGGGACGGAGCTTTTGGAGGAAGTACTTTTGCTGGTGGAGGCTTTGGCTTCGGCTCTGCCACGACCACGTCGGCTCCTGCTGCTGGTGGCTTCGGCTCTGCCGCGCACACGTCGGCTCCTGCTGCTGGTGGCTTCGGCTCTGCCGCGCACACGTCGACACCTGCTGTTGGTGGCTTCGGCTCTGCCACGCACACGTCGACACCTGCTGCTGGTGGCTTCGGCTCTGCCGCGCACACGTCGGCTCCTGCTGCTGGTGGCTTCGGCTCTGCCACGCACACGTCGACACCTGCTGCTGGTGGCTTCGGCTCTGCCACGCACACGTCGACACCTGCTGTTGGTGGCTTCGGCTCTGCCACGCACACGTCGGCACCTGCTGTTGGTGGCTTCGGCTCTGCCACGCACACGTCGACACCTGCTGCTGGTGGCTTCGGCTCTGCCACGCACACGTCGGCACCTGCTGTTGGTGGCTTCGGCTCTGCCACGCACACGTCGACACCTGCTGTTGGTGGCTTCGGCTCTGCCACGACCACGTCGGCGCCTGCTGCTGGTGGCTTCGGCTCTGCCGCGCACACGTCGGCGCCTGCTGCTGGTGGCTTCGGCTCTGCCACGACCACGTCGGCGCCTGCTGCTGGTGGCTTTGGCTCTGCCACGCACACGTCGGCGCCTGCTGCTGGTGGCTTTGGCTCTGCCACGACCACGTCGGCACCTGCTGTTGGTGGCTTCGGCTCTGCCGCGCACACGTCGGCACCTGCTGCTGGTGGCTTTGGCTCTGCCACGACCACTTCGGCGCCTGCTGCTGGTGGCTTCGGCTCTGCCGCGCACACGTCGGCACCTGCTGTTGGTGGCTTTGGCTCTGCCACGACCACGTCGGCACCTGCTGTTGGTGGCTTCGGCTCTGCCACGCACACGTCGACACCTGCTGTTGGTGGCTTCGGCTCTGCCACGCACACGTCGACACCTGCTGCTGGTGGCTTCGGCTCTGCCGCGCACACGTCGGCACCTGCTGCTGGTGGCTTCGGCTCTGCCGCGCACACGTCGACACCTGCTGTTGGTGGCTTCGGCTCTGCCACGACCACGTCGGCGCCTGCTGCTGGTGGCTTTGGCTCTGCCACGACCACGTCGGCACCTGCTGTTGGTGGCTTCGGCTCTGCCGCGCACACGTCGGCACCTGCTGCTGGTGGCTTTGGCTCTGCCACGACCACTTCGGCGCCTGCTGCTGGTGGCTTCGGCTCTGCCGCGCACACGTCGACACCTGCTGTTGGTGGCTTCGGCTCTGCCGCGCACACGTCGGCACCTGCTGTTGGTGGCTTTGGCTCTGCCACGACCACGTCGGCACCTGCTGTTGGTGGCTTCGGCTCTGCCACGCACACGTCGACACCTGCTGCTGGTGGCTTCGGCTCTGCCACGCACACGTCGACACCTGCTGTTGGTGGCTTCGGCTCTGCCACGACCACGTCGGCACCTGCTGCTGGTGGCTTCGGCTCTGCCGCGCACACGTCGACACCTGCTGTTGGTGGCTTCGGCTCTGCCACGACCACGTCGGCGCCTGCTGCTGGTGGCTTTGGCTCTGCCACGACCACGTCGGCGCCTGCTGCTGGTGGCTTCGGCTCTGCCACGACCACGTCGACACCTGCTGCTGGTGGCTTCGGCTCTGCCACGAACACGTCGGCGCCTGCTGCTGGTGGCTTTGGCTCTGCCACGACCACGTCGGCGCCTGCTGCTGGTGGCTTCGGCTCTGCCACGACCACGTCGGCACCTGCTGCTGGTGGCTTCGGCTCTGCCACGACCACGTCGGCTCCCGCTGCTGGTGGCTTTGGCTCTGCCACGACCACGTCGGCGCCTGCTGCTGGTGGCTTCGGCTCTGCCACGACCACGTCGGCGCCTGCTGTTGGAGGTAACTTGGGCAATTCGGCAGCTGCTGCGACAAGTGGGACTGCTATGGGTACGTGCAAGTCAGCTGCCGCTGAGCTGAAGGGAAAAGCGCTCTTTTCGATATTGGCCCAGTTTGACAAGGATTTTGCTAAGGACTACCGTGAATTTCAGAAGCTGTCGCAGCACATGCTTTTCCGTGACCGACAAATTATTGATCGTGGCAATGAGATATTAGCTTACATTTCCCACTTGGACGCCGCAATTTCTTCCGCGGAGGCATCAAAGCAGAGACTTTCGGAGCTAAAGAGCAAACAGGGGGCTATTGCCGCGATGATGCAACGTGTAGAGGATGCTGTGCAGCCCATATATGCGAAAGTGCGTCCAAACTTCACTAAGTTGGATGAGCAGCGTGAGGCCACGTACACAGCGGTAATTAACCTTTTTGATGAGGTAGAGGCATTCAGGCTGAGGTTGTCTCAAAGTGTGGCCCAACACAACCGTTCCCTCCGTCAGCTTCGGGAGTGTGATGACTTAGAGAGGATGGCGGGGCTTGTGGACTGCCAACTAAGTGCTTTAGAGAGGTGCTCCAAGCGGGCAGAAGAATTGGAGTCTGAGATGGACTTGCTACTTGGAAAAAATTCCGCCATGTGATGACGAAGGTCGTAAATGATGCAATTTGACCCATTGGCTCTGTTAGCATTTCTTTTTCTTTTTTTATTGCTTTAATTCGTTTCCTACTCTCTGCCTAGTTATCTTTCTGCTGAGCGTGAGGGTCGGTTTAGAGTGCCAGCGTGATGGAGGGCGGAGTGGAAAATGCATATCTGTTGCTCTCTGTGACGCTTATGGGGGTGAAGTGGGTCCCGGAAGCAACATCAGGCGACAAGAGTATTGGTGGGGGGAGTTTTTTTTTTTTTTTGTGATGAGTGAAAAATTGCCGACGGTAGTGGTGGTGGTTTTGGGAGAAGCGAAGTGAAGCCGCGTGAAGCGGAAAGAGCGATGATGATGAAATGAAATGAAAGGGGGCGTGGAGGCAACAAAAAGTGCTTCTGTGAAGGAGACAATGCACAGAACTGAGACTTTTTTAAAATGAGGAATGACAGAGAGAAGGGTGGGGGGTGAGGGGGACAGCAACAACAACCACAAGGAGAAAAATGGCAAAGAGGGCGGATCAGAGACGTCCCAATCGAGACGGCAACAATTAATGAAATACGACAAGGAACAAAGCGTCACTTTTTTTTTTTTTTGTGGGGGGGGGGGGGG